GTCAGGAGTGTGGAGCCAGGATACCTGGTGCTGTGTTCTTCCAGACTGCAGGCATCTAGGCTGCCTGACTTCCTCTTCCACCTTTCAGAGTCCTCCTATTCTTGGACCTCATATGATTTCCAGGGGTCAGTCTTATACTGAACCAGGAAGGCAGGAAGAGGCAAATCAACACCACCTCTTCTGGACTGGCCTGGGTTAGGTTTTTAGTCTTTGGCCTTGCACTAGAACTCATACCAGGGCTGTTACTTCTGGTGCTTCCAGTGTGCCTGAACTAGCAAACTTGCTTGTGTGCTAAGACCGGAAATGGACATTAGGGTTGTCTGGGTTGGAGAGCTGGATGCCTATGTGAACCTGCTGCACCAGGATGCCACAGCCTCCCCTGGGCATCCCAGGGCTCCAGTCACTGCGATAATTGGCCCAACGGATTGGAATAAGAATGCACATCTTTCGGTTTACGTTTATGGTATTGAGGTATTTTATAACACTTCTAGTTTAAGAGACCTCTGTTCTCTCAGTATAGCATCACCGGGTATGTTAAAGGGGTTGGTTGGCTGGTTTGGGCATTTGGAGGAGAGAGGTTCTGAGTCCTCTGATCTTTCTGTTCTTCTTTTAGGATGCCACGTGTGCCTGTCCCATTTTTCCTTCTTCCCTTCACCACTCAACTTTGAAACAGCACCTCTTGAATCTCATTTGTCTTTCCCCCAAAGTTATGCATTTTAAATCATGCCTGCCCCCTTTATGCACATCTATCTTTTTAAATTTCCCTGCCTCCCTGCATCAGGTTCCTATTGCTGCTGTAATAATTAGCACACGCTTAGTGGCTTCAAACAACACAATTTTTTTCTTCCACTTCTAGAGGCAGAAAGTCTACAATGAGTTGGCAGGGCTGCATTCCATCTGGGGGAACAGGGAGAGAGTCTATGTCCTTGCTGTTCCAGCTCCTAGGGTCCCGTTCCGGACTACCCTCTGCTGCGGTCAATATGCCTCCTGCTCCCACTCTCCTGCCTCCCTCCTTCACTTGTAAAGGTCTCTGTGATTCTGTTGGCTCCACTCCGATAGTCCAAGATAATGACCCACTCAAGACCATAGCTGGTTGCCACACAGTCTACCTTGCCATGTCAGGGACCACAGACTCTGGGGAATCTGGGCCAACCGTCTTAAGTCAGGCATACTTTGAAACTATTTTCTGTGATCTGTGTCCTGATGTGCAGGACACATTTCCAATATTTTCTCATTGAAGTTGGGTTTAATATTGGCAGTAGGATTTCTAAAAAACTCTCTGGCATCTTGTATAACTGCCCTTGTCTTCTTCACCTGCCCTTTCCTATGGCTGGTGAGGGTGGGAGGGCAGCTGTGTAAGATATTGTGCCTTCAGATTGTGTGATATTTCCCTTTTGTCTCCCAGACATTTTGGAGTTTGGCCATTGCTCTTCAAGGACTTCTGAAAGCCAGATTTCCATAGAATTTTCTGTCCTTTTATTGTTTTTTCTTTGGGTTCAGAAGCTGTATTCAGAGATGAGTAGCTAAGCTGCTGCCTTGTCCTCAGCAGACACAAGTGCCCTGAGGGCTTTTAATGCCTTGTCCCCAAAGTCCCTATCCCACATCAGTGCTTGTCTCCCGTATTTCCCCATCACGGCCCTGTTCTAGCAGAGCAGTATACTGAAGCTGAGAATTCAATCCTCTTTGTAGCACCAATATTCTTATAATTATGTCGGACCCAATTATGTCCTCAGCTTTTTCTGCCCTCGGGATCTAATAGGTGGGAGTCTACAATGTTGCCCAAAAGTCCTCTTTCACACATGACTTATCATGAGAGATCAACCAGTCTGAGTTCTGCATTGTCTTTCCCTGAAGGGTTGATGCTCAGCAACACTCATCCACCCAATAGTTCTTATAATTCCCAACAGATTTCCAGATTACCAGGTTACCCCCCACCTCTACTTACTCCATCCCAGGTCACCACTGTAAGCTTTTAGCAGTGACAATAGCAGGGAAAGCTGGGACCTTCCCCTGTTCCTCTGCCCACCAGGCAGGGGACCTCTTGGCCAGCCTGCTGATTGAGACTCAGGTTGGTATCTGCACATTAGAGCTGGGTTTCCAGACCCCTCCTAGACTAACTCCACAGGTCAACTGTATTGGGAAGCAAACTCTAACATCATATGAGAAGGGAGAAACCTCACTGTGGTGTGGTGCCCATTCACAGGTATGAGTTAGAGAAGGAGGCAAGACTGGCAAAAGGAGATATTGAACACAATGCAGCACAGAAAAGTCATACTTGCACAGAGAACAGGTGAACTGGATGCTATTTTTGACTTGTTTTAAATGGAGCGGAGGGGCAAAACCTCTGTACCCCAACTTCCTCCAGTCCTCTGCTGCACGCTGCCCTCTGGAGCAGGTGCAAACATGGGCAATGCAGCTTTTTCAACTGAGAAAAAATTCCAGAGGGCCACCCAGCTGAGACCTGCCGTCCCCCGACACACCAGGGGTAAAAATGGTGGGTCTTTGCTCCTTCCTCTAAGATTATTCCATATATTTCAAAAACGTATTTGAATTTCTTGATGTAAATCTAAGAGCAAAATCCAGTCACTGTAAAAAGGCAAAGAATCTGAAGTTATGCATGCAGACCCAATGATCTACGTGCAAAAGAACGATGTTATTACCTGATGTTGGTACGGGGGTCCAGGGGCGCGGGATGGTGTTTGAAGCCCCTCCCAGGTTTAGACCCCATTTCCTTTCCTAACCAGGGTGTTCTCCAGCCAGCAGGTCTTGTGAGGTCAGGCCACCCCGAGGGCTCCCTCAGCACAAGAACATGGGGTCATCGAGGCTCGCGTGTGGAACAAAGAAGGGCAGACTTGCACCCTGCTCACCTTGACACTGTCCTTCCTCTACTTGAGGCCAGGCTGACATTCGTTCCTATGACCCTGAGAGGTTGGACTGTCCTAGTCCAAACACAAGGTCTCAGATTCATCCTAAGGACAGCAGAGTCCCACTCATCTTGTGACCCTCAGTAAACTATGAGCCTGTTCCCTCCTCAGAAGAGAGTGTCAGACCTGCCCCATTGGGTGTGGGGAACAAGTCAGCAAACCTCACTTACATGTTACTGAGTGCTCATGTCTCCAGCCCTTCCCTCAGGAAGGACACCCAGTAGCCTGAGCAGAGGTGAGCAAGATGAGGTACTTCTTATCCTGAATTCTGCCTCAAGCCTCTCACAGGGGAAATTCATGAGCTTCAGAGCATAGATGGATGCAGGTTCCCTCAGATGGAGTAAGTCGAGGCCCCTGGGAGTGGACTCCTGGATCCCTCTCTGATGCTGCCTCCTGTCCCTTCATTTCCAGATCGAGAACTGTCCACTCCACTCCTGGTGGCTCTCTTCCTGGGCCCCAAGCTGCTGCTGCTTGTCTCTGTCTCTGCCATCTATGGCCACAGGAAGCAATGGATTCACTGGTGAGATATGGACAAGGAGGGCAGGGCCAGGTCAGTCTCAGAAGGAGCCAGGTCAGTGGAAGGGGAACCCCGCAGGTCACACAGGGTCAGCGCCCACCTGGAATAAAGAGCAGGTGACACACCTCCCTTCATACCCTCTGGAGCCTCAGGGATCCCTCTGGGAGGTTCCCAACTCCCAGGATGACTATTGGGCCCTGTAAGAGGTGGATGGGGTCAAGGGCTATGAAAGGATGTACAGAGAGACCTACAGCTTCTGGGAAGGGAGTGGGCTAAGTGAGCAACACCTGGGTGGGAAACCCCACAGAAACCATCTCTAGATTATTTGGGCGCAAGGTGTCCACATTTAGAGGAATGCTGACAGGTGCCCACTGGCTGCTCTGAGGACGGCTCTCGCTCTGACCCTCCGTGGGACAGACTGGAAAGGATGGGGAAGGGGTATCAGGACCTAGGGAAGAAGCCTGAGGAGGCACAGTCCATGTCAGGGACTTTCTGCCCTCTCACTACAGGTGTCCCAGGAGGAAAACAGCACCGAAGACATAGGAGACACGTGGAGAACATTTCTGGAATGATGAGCAGATAATGAAATGTGAACATGGGTCCACGGCTCCTTCCTTCCTCCCCTGCTACATGCCATCCTTGGTCTCTGCTGCCTCCTTCCTTCCCTGAGGGGCCAGCCTAAGACAAGGAACAACTAGAAGCTTCCACAACCCTGCCCCAGATGCCTGCTTCCCCAGAGACCCAAATGCCCACAGTTCCTGCTGTTCCTCCTCAAAGACCTCGATGCCCCCAGAGCTGGGTCTTCACACCTATTCCGGAGCAGGGTCCATGGGAACGTCTGTGGAGACTGACACATGGATGAGACTGACACATGGATATCTTACTAGAATGAGAGAAGCAAGTCCTGGTACACACACCAGTCTATCTCTCATCCATCTTCTGGGGACGGTGGTCATGAACTACACATTCAAGTCCATGCTCCAACAGGTTATTCCTGCCAAACCCCCATCTCCCCAGCCTTGGTAAGGTTCTTCAATCCCTCTTAAATATAAACGAATCCCATCTTGGTTTGAAGGGGAAAAAAGGATCCTACTTCCTCTTTGCCTACCTGCCCTATCCCTCAATCCCAGAGAGAAGATTCCCTCCTCTCCTTGTGATGGGAACACTGGCTCTTCTGTCACCTTCATCCTTCCCAACCCCCCTGCTCATGTACACACGCTGGCAGTACAGAAGACAGGAGCCTTCCTTGATTTCCTTCTTTTTTTTTTTTATTTATTTTTTTTAATTTTTTTTTCAACGTTTTTATTTATTTTTGGGACAGAGAGAGAGACAGAGCATGAATGGGGGAGGGGCAGAGAGAGAGGGAGACACAGAATCGGAAACAGGCTCCAGGCTCCGAGCCATCAGCCCAGAGCCCGACGCGGGGCTCGAACTCACAGACCGCGAGATCATGACCTGGCTGAAGTCGGCCGCTTAACCGACTGCACCACCCAGGCGCCCCTTGATTTCCTTCTTTATATCCCATTTCAAATCTGCCTTCTTAATGTATGTCCAGCGACCAGACGGTGTTAAACCATCTACGTCTGGACAGAAAAAGAAGCCCAATTTGTGGTGCTTGTCCACTTCTGTGGCGTCTACACTCCCAACGTGGCCAATTTCAAGCTGCCAACAGTGGAACAACTAGCTTGCAAAATTCTTGGAAAGCTCTCAAGAGCGAGCTCTCCTCCCGCCCACCAGGGAGCTCCACCCAGCACCTGCACACTGCTCGCTCCCGGGCTGCCCCCTGGTCCCGGCCACCAGCATCCCTTCCTGGACCATTGCCGCGTCCCTAACAGACTCTCCAGGTTCAGCCACAGTGATCCTACGGAAACGGAAGTCCGATTGTATCCTTCCTCTGTTTCTTCCCCCTACAGATATGCATGGCTCGGTTTCTCCCTCTTTCAAGCTCTCCAGTCATGTCACTTTATTAAAAACACCTTCCTTAAACTACCCACATAAAATATCAATTTCTGTCTCTCACTCTTTGTTCCCACAGCTCATACCTGAACTTAATTCTTTTCCTAGAACTTAAGACCAGCCAACATGATAAATGGAGACAGTGCTCACTTGCACAGTGATGCAGGACCAAACAATGACGGGTGCAGTTAAAACCAGGCGACGTGATCTCAATAATCAGAGGGAAAAGCAACAATTTTTCTGTGAACTTTAGAAACTTTTTTCAACACATTGGGAACCCCCAACTGCCAGTTATGAATGTACAGAGACATGAAAAGACAGTAAAACTATTATCCATTTGGTAAACACTCATTTGAAACATTAGAAACGTTGAAAGGTGGGGCGCCTGGGTGGCTCAGTCAGTTAGGCGTCCACCTCTTTGATTTTGGCTCAGGTCACGATCTCACAGTTCATGGTTTCGAGCCCTTCATTGGGTTCTGGCTGGAGAGCAGAGAGGCTGCTTGGGATTTCTCTCTCCCCCTCCCTCTGCCTCTCCCTGGCTTGCTCTCTCTGTCTTAAAAAAATAAAACAAACAAAAAAAAAACATTAAAAAATGTTTTTAATTAAAAAAAAAAGAAACCTTGAAAAGGGAAGTGGTTTATTTTTTTTAAAGACTTACCTAGAGTAGTTTGGAGAGTGCTTGCCTTCTTGTAACTAACTGCACAGTTTACAAGAAAACAAACATCTCAATGATCTCACCTGCTTCTCAATTGGGATTAGATTGCAACGTTGCTGCACTTCCAATGCTGTGAACGCCTGACAACATATTCGTGAACATTTTCTGGTGTCACAACTTCTAGGACATCGTCTCCCCACCCCTCCCACTTTCCTCAGTGACGTGGTAAGTTTGCATTCACTCTCCTCCTCTGGCTGCGTATCTAGACTCTGGAAACGGTATCCCTGGCAGCACTCCCATGAAGGTCTCTGTGTCTTGATGAACCCCACTCACATTGACTTTGAACTTCAGCTCCAGCCTCAGCTCTTCTCATTTCTCCTACACACGTTCAGTTTGGTCCCCATCCCCTTTTTTCATTTTTTACTTTCATACAATGTCACCCAGGTTCATCGCGGGGCAGGGGGACCAGGAGACAACATAACCACCTGCTTTGCAATTGTGGTAAACAAATATCACAACCCCAATATCCTGGCACCCTGATCTTAGACTTCCAAGATTCAGAATGGAAGGAATTGGTTCCTGTTGTGCAAGACATCCAGTTTATGGTGTTTTCTTACAGCAGCACAAGCCAAGACAAAATCTAATAAATTATGAACTTTGCTTAATGAGCAGGTACCAATATTGATTCATTAATGGTAACAAATGTACCGTACTACTGTAAGACATTAATAAGAGGGGAAACTGTGTGAAGCTGTATATTGCAACTCTGTATGACTGTGGCAGTTTTTTTCTAAATGTAAAACCATTTCACAAAATTAAGTCTATTAAAAAAAAAAATTGCAACATCTTGTCTTCAGCTGACTCTCTGCCTCTTGAGCTCCCTTAGGGGAAAATTTAAGGAAACAAATGGTGGGGAGATTTCGTGTTAATATTCAGGTTTTATTTCACTTCGGGTTTGAGGTTCCTTCTCCTCCTTCCTCTGTCCTCTGCCAGAGCTCACTCGAGAGCCAGGCACTCCGAGATCTCAGAAGGAGCTGAATCCCAGTCCCCCATGATACTCATTCTAAATGCTTCCAAGTAGTAAAGCCCAGGTTAGTCCAGGTGTGAACAGAGAACTCTGGTCCCCAGGGTAGTTTTAAGACCTGATGTGGGGGGCACTTAATCCATGTCCTGAACCCACGGAACAGAGTTGGAAGGGGCTCTGCAGAGCAAGGTGGATGCTGTGATATACCAGGTCTCAGGACGTGGCCCTCTCCTGTCACCCTCTTTAGGATGGCCTCAGGTGAGGAGAGCTACCATGCCCAAGGTCATCCCTGGTAACATCCTAACTCCGGAACACACGGGAGATCAGCTGAGGTTGCCATTGAGACCTCACTGCAGCTCAGCTTCTTCTAAACATTCTTGCTCCCTTCTGCTCCCCTCCACAGGTTTGTTCTTAAAAGTACTCCCTGAAAATGACCTGCTTGTTAATATTCATCACAACATCTGTTGCCCAGGGAAGCTAAGGTGAACAAGACATTGTGACCAGTACCAGAAAAAGACGGGGATCCTTTTGTCTCTAGGGACCAAGCCACTCCTGGAAGAATGGATTGTTTACACTGCCACATACCATATGCATATAACACATACCACATCCCATATTCCATATACCATACAAAATATACCATATATCATATACCAAACACTCTGGGTATATAAAAGCAATGAGAAACCACAACACTGCTTATGCAAGAAGGAGTATAATCAGATGTGTGTTGTAGAAAACATCTCGGATAAAGGAGGAGGTAGAGCTTACACCGGGCAAAACAAGATGGGGGTAGCCTATTAGGAAGTAATAGTTTTCACTGAGGGAAGCGATGATGATGGAGATGGAGAAATAGATATTTAGGAGGTAAAATAGATATTTAGGAGGTAAAACTAACAGGGCCTCTGGCAGGCAGATGAGAGTGGACAAGTCAGGATGCAGAACATGGGTTACTTCTTGGTTTGACCAAATGGACAGAGGATGTGCCACATACTGAACAGCGTGGAAAGAGTAGGAGAATGTCTGAGTGCAGACTATGAGCTCAGGGTTGAATATTTGAACTATACAAATGAAGATCTCAAAGTCAAAGGATATATAGGTCAGTCACCAAGAAGTGGATTCAAGATTAGAACCTTGATTGCATCTGGTTGCAAATCCACTGCCCTTGACCATCAAGGCATGAAATATCCCAGTCTCTGAAGAGGTTAGAGTCTGATGGAAGGTGTGAAGTCTCCTGGAGGTTGGAGGAAGGGAGAGATGCTGGAGGCTGCAGGAAAGATGCTCAGTAGGGGCCA